GCAGGTCAAGTTCGAAGGTGGGCTATATCGGTCCACAATATCATATAGCCCCCATATAACCGTACCCCCGATATTTGGTATTTTGATAATTTTAGCCAATCAAATTGTTAATTAATTCAATTGAATTGTTTGAAATTCTGCACAAGGAGTTCCTTGTGAGTACTTTAACCCCCTGAAAGAAAATGTTATATATAGGTCCACGACATCGTATATCCCCCATATAACGGCACTTCTCGATATTCGCGAATTTTCATGATTTTATCCATATTTTTTAATGGAATTAACTGAAAATCCACACAAGAAGTTCTTTGTGAGTATTCACACCCTGGAGGAGAATTGTCTATATAGAGGGTGAGATGAAAAACTGCAACCAACTTCAGACTGCTGTCATTTCTAAGCCACTCGTCTGACAGTTGTTAAAATTATTCCACTGACAGCTCATTATATTGTTCATAAGCCTACAAAAGCATTTTGGTGAGAATTTTCCAGAAAAAAAGTTATTCGTGATGGAATTCAAGCGTGATAGAGTGATTTCTTTATATTTGGCTGGAAAACCACAAGTGGCTATCGTTAGAGCACTCCAGCATTTAAATGTGAATAAATCTTTTGTGTCTTGTAGCATCGCCCGATGTCAAGGAAGTGGACGGAAAAACAGAAACATCACAAAAATGGTTTGAAATGTTAAGCAGCGACTTGATCGAAACCTGCGTCGCAGTGGCTGAACCATGGCTCGTGAGCTGAACATATCGCAATATTCCATTCCGCAAATATTGAAAAATGAGCTCGGAGTAAAGCCACTGAAATTCCAAAAAGTGCAAAACCTTACTCCGCAACAGAAAGAAAATAGACTCAAAAGACCTAAAAAGTTGCTTCGCTTGGCCGAAAGTGGTGAACCACCGAATTTGGTTTTCTCCGATGAGAAAACATTCATTCTCCAGCAGTTTGTAAAAAAAGATCGTGTTTACTTGCCAAGGAGGTCAGCTGAAAACGTGCACCTTCGGTTGGCCAGCAGAACCCAAGCGCTGGCCATGGTGATGGCGTGGGCTGCCATAACAGCCGATAGTCGCTCTGCACTCGTATTAATCGACCGTGGCATCAGAAGAAATGCTGAATATTATGCGAAGGGTGTATTAAAGCCTTGGGCGCGCAAACATTTTGGCCGCTGACCTTGGACATTCCAACAGGACTCAGCAGCATCGCACTCAGCACGCGCCACCCAAAAATGGATACAAAATAAGATTCTGCTGCCAAAATCTCCAGATACCAATCCGTCTGGAATATTTTTGAAAGTAAGGTTGGCACAAAAAATACCAAAATACGGCAGAGCAACATTCGGGCAGCGTGTGACGGTTTCATTGCTCATTTGAAGGCCAAAATTCGTGCCAAAAGTGACCAATTCGAACAAATATAAACTTATTCTAGAATTTAATGCTATTTCCGACATTGTGTGCTTTAACTCAATAAAATTAAAAATTATGGCGTTTGACTTTCTTGCTGTTTTTTATCTCACCCTGTATGTATTCAAAATACTTTGTTCGCTATATCCTAATGAACATAATGGCTTCGAATTCTGTAAGGACTTAAATGATTCCGAATAATTTTACGGGTAAAAACTATAGGTTGTTAATCGTTTTTGCCGCAAAATTCAATTTGTTCAATAATTACAGAAAAGGTCCAGCATATCATGAAAGTAATGCTAAAAAGACACTTGTACAGGTATTTAGAAATTTATATCGAAAAGTGACTGGTTATATATAACTGGTTCTACCATCTGTGGCAGAACATTGATGTGTTTGGTATATTGGTGATTTTAGTCACATTTATAACAGATTTTTATGCCTTACACCACATAGTGGTAACGGTAATATGTCTTTGTGTATTTGTTTGTAACATGTAGAAGGAAACCAGATAGAACTCGTCCCTCCGTCCGTCAAATTTGTTGAAAATCGGTTGTGGTATGATCAACTTCACATTAATTTATATTTTTTTTTTTGTAAGGGAGCTCTACTAAATGCTCATACCACTATTATATAGTCGGTCCAGCCCGACTTTTGATCTTTCTTTACATGTTCCTAATTTGAAGTTTTACAGTAGTAATTGAAAACAACCATATACAAGGAAACCATTACCATCGATTTTACGGCATTTTTAAGACTTTTGACAAATCGATTTCACGAGCAAAAATGGCATTGAACCCAATATCCAATCCCCTTTTCTTTAATTTTTAAAGGTTTTCTTTACTTAGTGTTGGAGGGTATTAAAAGTTCGTACGGCCGAACGCGCTTTTACTTGTTTAACTTTATTTATTTTAGTATCATATATTATTTTGTGTTGAAATATAGGACGTGTTTGCAAAATTACCTTCATATCTTAACCTCATACACCAACAGAGACCTAAATAACAAATTTCGGGATTCCAACTTTATTCCTTCATCCAATACCAAATTTATTATTATTAAGTAGTTTTCTTACAAATTTTGGTGGAATTTCCAAACAACCTCTGTATTTTAACCGCTGACAACAAAAGATACATAAATAACAAATTTCCCGGTTCCAGCCTTATTCCTTTACCCAATACCAAATTTAGGGCCATTTAGTAGTTTTCGTACAAATATAGGACGCATTTCCAAAACTGATTTGATTTTCTTCTCCTACTCTCTAATTGTCCTGAAAGCTGTTTCGTTCAGACAATCATTGATTCTAAAGGATTTAATAAAGTGCGAATTGAGATAGAAGATTGCAATTAGCATATATCGCTCGTATTCGTAGAACTAGAAAATATTGGAGAGTTCAGGAAAAAGCATTGTAATGTTTCTTTGGAAAAAGTATCTCTAACACATAAAACAGGCTAACTTAAAAAAAAAAAAAAAAATATTTAATTGACGTGGTCGATGTTTTCTATTGACATCTATGGTAAATTGTGAAGGAGGCCTCTATCCTCACCGAATTTAAGCATTGCGAAGAATGTAAAATCATTTTCTTGGCAAGTTTTTTTATATTTTATTCCATTTTAAATAGAAAACTGTACCTAATTTTTACACTTAAAGAATCAAATGCTTTGATAAAATATAATTATTAGACAAATTTTTTAAGCGTTTCTTCCTTATCTCTTTTTTACTTGATTATAAACAACATAACCCAACCATTTCTCCTTTTTGCACCACGCTCATCCCTTTTCTTTTTTATACTTGGCAACATTGTAATCAAATCTTGCTGTGAGGCTAATGACCTTTTACCACAATGAGCTTGTTTTTCGGATTATAACCGGAACAATAGAATCCATTTCAAATAATGTAATGACAATGATGCAAAACAATATGGGTCTTATTACAAAGATATAACAAAAAGGGTAGAATTATTTCAAAGATTTAGCATCATGGAACATTGCCGTATTCTTGCAAAATTGGCATTACAAAATTCGCATCTGAAAATTTAAAGAGATTCCAAAAAATATATATTTATAAATAAATAAATAAAAACCAGTAAAGAAAGTCTTAAAGTCGGGCGGGGCCGACTTTACGATACCCTACACTACTTTGCTAATTTAGTAGAGCTTCGTATAACAATTAAAAGTTTTTATGGGAGAATTCAAACATACACGCTATGAATATAAATATAATTTAAAGTTCAAAGGACTAAATATGCCGAAGCATTTGTATCTTTTAAATTCGGACTTGTATTTCCTATTTGGTGCACAATTAATTTGAAATCGTATAAAGATATATATGGGAGCTATATCCAAATCGGAACCGATCTTGATAAAATTTAGCAAAGATATTTCTGAGCTGTATTTGATATATTTTCCTGAATATCGTTGTTACGGAGTGCGGAGTCTGAACCGATCTTCACCAAATTTGACATACTAGCTTCTAGACTCAATTCGGTTGTAAGTGCCAATTCCATCCCATTTGGACAAATATTAGACGTTAGGTGCACAATAAAAGGTAAATCGGACGACGTTATATATGGGAGCTACATCCAAATCTGGACCGATCTCGATAAAATTTAGCAAAGGTATTTCTGAGCTGTATTTGATATATTTCCTCAAATATTGTTGTTGCATAGTGCATATTACGGCTGCGGAGGACAAAAATAACAAATCGGTTGAACAATATATATGGGAGCTGTAGCTATATCTGAACCGATTTCGATCAAATTTGGCATACTTATTTTCAGGTCTAATTTGGTTGTATGTGCAAAATTCCATACTATTCGGGCTGGTATTACACGTTTGGTACACAATAAAAGGCAAATCGGACGAAGATATATATGGGAGCTATATCTAAATTTTGACCGACTATTTCCAATTTCAATAGGGTTCGTCCTTGGTGCAAACAAATGATTTGTGCAAAATTTCATCTAGATAGGGCAATAAATGCGAACTGTACTTTGTTTACAAACATATATGGACAGACGGACAGGCAGACGGACGGACGGACATGCATAAATCGACTCAGTATGTGATTCTATGCAGATCATCAAAAGAAACTATGGGTCTAGCTCGTTTCCTTTTGCCTGTTACAAACAAATGCCCAAAGACATAATGCCCTGACCACCTTCTGGTGTAGGGTATAATAACTGCAAATTTTCTTAATTTGTAATTTTTTGTAGTTCTGGAAAAAATATTTTATTCGTATTAATTGGAAAAATAAAACTGAGCAAAAAAAATTATAAAATTACTTCTTTACCCCACGCCCCCTAAGCCCTTAATCGGCAAAGCTATTTTTTCCGTAAAATATTTAGTAAAATATGCCATCCCTATCACCTTTGAAAATGAACTTAAAATAAATTCAATTTTATTAATGGCATTTCTCTGCCATTGCACATTTTGTTTTCCTCTTTTTTTCTTTTGGAAGCACTCACATCCTTCCTTTCGCCCTCATTCTGTGGACGATTTGTAGCAACAAATACCCCCCCCCCCCCCCCAAAAAAAATATATATTCATCACATTCAATTTGTATAGATATTTGTAATGTTGATTTTTCGTTTGCAATACTTACTTAAAATGATAATAAGACACACAAAGATGGCACCTAATGCACCCATGCTTAACTTTAGTCTTTGACCTTCCTGTACCAGTTCACAATTTTCACCCCAATAACCTTCCGGACATATGCAACGATAGCGTAGACGTGGCTCCAGATTTATGCAAGTGGCGCCATTCAGGCAGGGCATATCCAGACATTCATTGCGATCCACACAACCTTTGGTATCGGCCGACATGACGCGACCTTCGCTGCAACTGTAAAAGAAGAGAAGAGAGAAAAGAGGGGCAAATAAGATAGTTAGACCATATATGTGTGAGTGTGAAATAGAATACCAAAAGAATTCAAAGTGTAACGAAAGGAAGCTGGAGAAGAAAATAAAAAAACACCGGAAGTTGTTAATAAAACATATGATATGACAGCAGCAGGAGCAGCAGAAGAACAAGCAGCCCCTATTGAATCTTCGATAGGAATATTGATTGCTACAAAATATTGAATGCATCATCATCATCAGCATCATTATGGGGAGCAGTATTTCTATGGATGTTACATGGCGTCTCTTGGCGTATAGTTTTACACAGATTTTATCATTGTCGAGAATGTGAAGATCCAAGAGTGAAGTGAAATATTGAAATTGCACTGAGGATACTTGAACAACAATAATAATAATTTGTTATATTGAATATTTGCAATAAAACATTTTGAAGAATCTTCGGCGATGATAAATGAAGTTTTCTTTTTTTTTTTTTTTTTGTTGCTCTAAGAACAAGAATAAATGCAATTTACAAATCATTCATCACAAGTAATACGATTTTGTAATTTTTCAAAGCGAGGCAATGTGTGCATATCTCAGAGATTTATTTAGCTATTTCGTATGGTCTGGAGTTAATGTAAATATGTGACTCTATTTTTAAAGCAGATTGAGCTAACCACAATGAATATAACTTTCGAAGATAAACAAATTATTTGAATTTTTAAAAAATATTCTTCCAGGCATTTCTAATATTTTCAAGTATTATCACAATAATATACGTGGAATTTTATACCCTCCACCATAATATATAGGGTATATTAAGTTTCAGACCCCATAAAGTGTAAATATTCTTGATTAGCATAAAATTCTATGCGATTTTCTAGCGTTGTCTGTCCCTCTGTGGAAATCACTCTATCTTCTAGAAATGAAGTTTGATAAAATTTTACTCAATTGTATATTATGTCTGCAGGACTTTTGATACTGAAAATGGGTCATGTATGTCCACGTTTTGGTATAATCCCCATATAACGGTACATCCCTATATTCCTATATTTTGATTATTTTATCTACATTATTCACCGATTTTTTCAAGTTTTGCATTTGAATATTTTAATGGCTTATTGCAAAAGTTGCCTATGCAGGTCAACGTCATCGTATAGACACTAATATAATGGTAACATTTGTTATTTTCAAGATTTTAACAGAGTTTTTAAGGGACTTTATTTTGTTGAAAATTGCCAAATTCCTTCCAAATGGTGGAGGGTATTCAAAGTTCGGCCCAGAATTTACAGCTATTTTACTTGTTTTTAATATTTTTGTCCAAGAAATTTAAAGCAATAAATAGGATTTTTTTAAATACTCTTGATATTTTCAGGGGCTATTTCAACATTATTAACATTTTCTTAAAATTTCCGGGATTATTTAACAGAAAAAAATTGAAATTTTTTTGTGAAATTAAATATTTCCAGGACTTTTTCTTTTACAATTATCATAAATGTTTAAGAACATTTTATGCAAAGATCATTCAGACAATAATCTTGGATATTTTCATGACTATTTTTAAAGGATTAGTAAACATTTTTTAGAGTGTTTACTTATTCTAGAAATTACACGCTCCAACTTGAACAGAAGGGTATATAAACTTTATCACTTCGTTTGTAACATCCCTAAATATTCATCGCAGATCCGATAAAGTATACATTGTGAGAGAGAAATAGCATCAAATAAGTTTCGATTTGTTCGAATTGGTAACCATTGTCACGAATTATGGTCCCCGAACGGCCAATGAAACAATCACACGTTGCCCGAATGTTGCTCTGCGGTATTCCCACTCCCGGCGTAGCACTTGTTGGAGGTGATCGACACTTTGGTATTTCTCAGAGCCAACCTTGTTTTCCAAAATACTCCAGACACAATAGTCCAACGGATTGGTATCCGGAGATTTTGGTGGCCATTGTGCGCTGGAAATGAAGTGAGGAGCCTCATTTTGTAACCATTATTGTGTGGCGCGTGGTGAGTGCGATGGTGTTAAGTCCTGTTGGAATGTCCAAGGGATGCGGCCAAAATGATTGGGTACCCGAGATTCGGCATTTATGCTGATGCCACGGTCGATTTATACGAGCGGAGAGCGACCATCAGCTGTTATAACGGTCCATACCATCACCATGGCCGGCGCTTGAGTTCTAGTTTTTACAAACTGCTGGATAACGAATATTTTCTCATCGGAGAAAACCAAATTCGGCAGTTCACCACTTTAGGCCAAGCTTAGCAACTCTTTAGCTCTTTTGAGTCTATTTTCTTTCTGTTGCGGTGTAAGTCCTTGCACTTTTTGGAATTTGGCTTCATCCCGAGCTCATTTTTCAATATTTGCGATTGGAATGTCATATGTTCAGCTCACGTGCCATTGTTCGGCCACTGCGATGCGGCTTTAGATCAAGTCGCTTCTATACTTTTCGGTGTAAGTCCTTGCACTTTTTGGAATTTGGCTTCATCCCGAGCTCATTTTTCAATATTTGCCTAATGGAATATTGCGATATGTTCAGCTCACGTGCCATTGTTCGGCCACTGCGACGCGGCTTTAGATCAAGTCGCTTCTATACTTTTCGAAACATTTCTACTGATGTTGCTGTTTCTTCCGTCCACTTCCTTGACTACGCTACCAGTATCACGGCAACGAGCAATGGTACGAGACAAAAAATCACCATCACCATGGCCGGTGCATGAGTTCTGATGAGGTCACTGCGACGCGGGTTTTGATCAAGTCACTTCTTTACTTTTCAAACCATTTCTGTTGATGTTGCTGACGTCGGGCTACGGGGAGACACTAAAGATTTATTCACATTTAAGTGCAAGAGTGCTCTAACGATAGCCATTGTGGATATCCAGCTAAATATAAAGAAATCACACTATCACGCTTGAATTCCATCACGAATTACTTTTTTGGAATATTCTCACCAAAACGCTTTTGTACGCTTGTAAACAATATTTTTAACTGTCACTGGAATAATTTTAACAGCTGTCGGACAAGTGGCTTAGAAATGACAGCAGTCTAAAGTTGGTTGCATTTTTTGCATCTCACCCTGTATATTCATGTTCAACATAAAGAGCTTAGTCCATTTAATGATGTCCGTCTGCCTGTTGGAATCACGAAAAAGTCCAAATTATTTGACGCAGAGCTTCAAACTTTTGCAGAACAGTTTGTATTGTGCCTACGATAGTTGGCATTGAAAGTGAGTTATATCGGTCCACGTTTTGGTATAGCCTTCCAGTATTCGGTTTTGATGATTTTCGCCACATTTTTTCACGGTTTTTGTCTAAAAATTGGTATTTGTTGGTCATAATGGGTTCTAGCTCATAATGGATTCTAGGTCGAGTAGGCCACGGATTTGAATAAACATTAATTCAATTTATAACTAAATTTTTTTAAAAGATAATGGGGCGAAGAATTTTTGATTTTGTATGCTTCTTTAACGCTAGTATAGGGAGAACTACCCTCGAAATCAGATCCTTAAAATTTATTTTACAATGTCAGCAATGACGAACCGGCCTAAGCATGTTGTATGCCAAATTTCGTTAGGCAGGAGATTTTTTGTATAGTGTTATTGTAAATGAATTGTGATATTATCCTTCACAATATCTGTTGTAGGCATCGGCTATCCTCAAGTCCATGGTGGAAGAATATAGGTAGATACATCAATAACCGCGAACAAAAAAAAAAAAAAAATTTTAAAAAGCTCTTCAAAAATAGATGGATTTTAAAAGAATTTCTTATTCGACGTCAATCGGAGTTTGTTACAATTTTTACAAATTTCAATATTTTTCGTTTAAAATTTTCAATTCAAAAATTGTTTTGATAGCCCATTGTACCAGCAGCTGTGTTGTGGCGCCTACCTGTATCATTTTTTCATATTCAAATCTCTTAAAATCTTGGAAATTTCTTCTGAAATTTCATTTTGAGGTGTTGTATTGGAATGACAAATTTAATATACCCTCTACTGTTTGAGGGCGCAGGCCAATATAACCTAATCTACAAACATCGAAATAAGTTTGAAATCCCACAGTTTATGATTTTGACTTGTTTGTGTGTTTCCAAATAGTTTTCCAACAAAACAACACCATCCTAAAATTCCCGATGATGGATGTGAGAACGATTTGCTTTAAATCTCTGGTCTTGTGCAATTTAATTACTAATTGTTTAATACAATGCCATGCAATCCATTTTCGTTTGTTATTTTTGTTTCGGGCACAACCCAATTTCGTTGTTTGCTTTCATATTTTCTCCAGTTTCCAGCGCATAAATCAAAAATGATTAATTTCGAAAATATCAAAATTGTTTATGTATTTCATGAGGATACCAGCCAGGACATACATGTTTGCGAACATACATACACATGTATATAACCAATTTTGTATTTGCAACACCAGCTTCAGCATCAGGATCACCATCATCAGCATCATCATCATTGATGTCCTTGCCATGATTCATGAAGCAAAAATGATTAATTTTCGAATATGAAACAGTTCAATTGGATGCGTAATGTTGCATCTATAAGCAGTTTGTTTGGCTGTATTTGTTTCCGCATCGGCATCGACATCGGTGGCAGTGGTATCAGCAGCAGCAGCAATATCATCTAGAGCACGTTGTTCGATGATTATTCTTTTCATTTGACATGGCCCCATTTAAGTATAAAATTTCCAATATTTCACAGTTGTTTTCGTTTATTTCTCTGTTTTTTTTTTTTGTTTGTGTGTGTGTGTGTAACTCCCTTCGTTTGCAACGGCACCCATCTATTTTCCGTTTCGCTTTTCAAAACTCTTCTCGGTTGCTTGGTATCATGCAACACTATTTCTGCATTACAATTGACTGTAAGTTGTTTAATACCAGTCCATGGCAGTTGCAGCAACTACTGCTGCTGCCACTGCCACTGGTTTTACATTGACAGGGTTCCTGTTGCGTTCTATCGTTGATGATGATCATGAACATTTGTTGCATTTGACATAACT